CATCTGTCTCCACAGGTTACAACATTCCACTATCTTTCTTCCTTGTATTAGCCTTCTGTTCAGCATATGGAAACCAAATTATGCATATCCTAATTCAGATCAAAGCCGCAATCAACTATCAACTTTTTTCCTCAAACATTAAATTCCATCTAGCTTTATAATATTTGTTAATCCGTGTTGAGGTTCTACCAATATTCTTCCAAATTTAGTCTTCCTACATGATTTTAGGTTCCTTTAGGATTTTTTATTCATTATCAGGTCTACTACTGAAGCCGATGTAACTCCATGCTTTCAGCTGGTCATAACTGGTCACTCAAAAAACGTCTTGGGAGACAGACAGAAGGAGGGCAAAGTTATTTTTGAGAAGCAATCAAATCTATTTGCTCTTTTGTCCTTACATGTATAAAAAAGAAGTATAAAATCCTTATCACTATGAATGTAAACTCTTATACCCCTGGGTGCTGTACAAAACTTAACTAGGCAGAAGAAAAATACAAGTTTAGCACTTCTATTCAGCAGAGGAATCAATTTAATCCATTAGTTCTTCAGATGCATAAAAGTACACTGAAACAAAAGCTGAGAATTCAGAAGACAGTCCACATAAATAATCATCAAAAGCAGTCACCTAAAAAGGAGCCAAGAAGCAGACATCTCCATGCATCAAAACCATTCCAGCCGTTTGAAGAAAGAAAGATGCCTGAGCTTGCATTGAAAAAGGGCTGAAAACCCTGGTGAAGTCTTATCACTACCACTCTCCCGCAAATATACTTCTGCTAACTTGTACTAAGTCGGGATATTTCAAACCATCGTTAAGACACAGCAACAAGCATTTTCTTGTGAAAACTAGAGCAATAATTAAAATGTACTTACTAGCAATCATGATTTTAAATTGAGAAACTCAGCAATGCATAGGAGACTGCAAAATCCTTTTCCTGACTCAAAGTACTTTCAGTATAACCAACTGAAAATGAAACTTCTTGTATAAACTCATGCATTTGTAAGGAAATGTTTGAGGACGAAGCTTCTGTATCATGCAGTGCTGACAGCAAAAAAAAAAATCATTGCTACTAAGGGAGACTCACAAATTGTAGGCTCTTCTTTAAACAGTAAATTAATTCTAGCTTCCCGCAGAGAACATGATTGCTTGAGCCACCTGACCATACTCCCAACTAGCCTGATGACATCAGGTCAAACACACCAGGCAGTCAAGGCCAGTTCCCAGGCCACAATTACTCTTGCTGGTGACTAGCAAATTCCATAGCCACTGGCTTCCAGGCTAGGTTTTTTTTTCAACTTCAGAAATGACAAGGTTACTATGAAGCTACTATGATGCACAGAAAGCAGTTGTAGCACTCTGCCAGTAACTTCAGCAGCCCTAGGAAAGCAGAGATTCATTTTCTGAGGGCTACTTGAGATGTTTTTAAAGAGAAAATACCTTCTAGATCTGACTGTTCCATATGACTGTCAACTACTACAGGGAGACAAAAAAGGAAAACCTGCCAGCACTTTTAGCCTGAGTACTTGTGAGAACAAAACATAACCAGCACAGTACTCAGCATTCAAGATGACGACTTTGACACCAGGGAGTCAAATCAGCCACAGACAAATGTACCCTACATCTAACTAAAATATATTGGTGGAAGATAGTACTATTTCAAATTATATAAACAGAGAAAGATTGAGTATCTCTACAGTATCTAAATGAAGACTGATGCATTCAGAGGATAATGGCTTCATAACAACCTACAACCAGAACTCAAATGCCTGCTCCACCAAGTCTTCGTGAAATACATATGATTTTTCTCCATTACTTATTTCTAAAATGGGGAAAAAAGTGCTTCTTTACCCCATGATAACTACAATAATTACATTGTATTCCAAAACTAGAAAGATTGAAATACTAAAAGTTAAGTCTTAAACAAAAGCATTTAAATATACATGCTTTTAATTTTACTACCAAAATGCAAAGCCTAATTTCATGTGCAGTTTTCCCACGCGTAAAATGGTCCCCTTCCAGTCATCACTGATACTTTGAAACATGCAGAGCACTCCTTCACTGTTTTCATCAGAAAAGGAACACTATGACTATCTGAATTTGGTAAATTAAAGACAGAAACCAACTGAGATTTTTAGTTAGGCCACTTGAATCCTTTCCTAATAACTAAGATCCATTCCATTCCATTCTGAAATAACAGAAGAAAAAGCTTTTAGTGGTAAACTATCTTTCAGTTCAACGATTAAATGAATTAACAAAATGCTGTGTTATACTCTCCTGTGCCAAGCAGTCCTTCAGCAAAAATAGCTGAAAGCCTTTATATCCCTATTATTCTTATTTAACAATTAGATATCGATACATCGTTTACACAGCTTACAGAAGAGAATTTCAACTCCCCCATTTCCCCTTCAGCTTATATACTCCCACCCACAAAAACATGGTTATCCTTCATGTTCAGACAATAAACAAAACACACACAACACATTTAAATAAGAACACATGAGCAGAGAGGAAAGCTTCAAACATATACAAGTTCATTTATACTGAGACAAGGAGCCCCAAAATGTTTCAATCTGAGAGACAACTACTGTGTATAAAGCCACTCAATAAATTCCTTCTAAGTGCAAGGATACAGGAGACTGGCAATGGCCTTCTGTCCTGTAGTCCATTAACACTGCACAGCTGTTAATCTTTCACACAAAATTAATAGACTCCTCTTAGAATATTGGGAAGCAGCAGCAGGATGACCAGGTATACAAACTACCTTTCAGATTAAACGTCTGCTGTATTTTTTCCCATAATTATGCAAGACTCAACCCTGAGATCAGAGTTCTCTGCAGTCCCACATCCCTATGTGATGGAGAAGATGTGGTTTATATGGAGCCTGAACAGGAGCACTGAATTCAGTATGTTTGAATTTCAATACATTCAAACAATTCCAGTATATATATGTCATATATATATTTCATATATATTTTTCATATATATTTCATACATATATGTCAGTATATTTAGAGCTTTAGCATTTCCTTATGAAGTGACACCATAGAACACTGTTAATCTACAAATCTGATCAAGTTCATGACACTATGCATGTGTGTACACGTGTACATATTTGTACGTAGTGCTTATGCATATATAGACAGCACATGGTCCCAGCTACAGCAAATGAAACAGTTCATGAAGCAACAGTCAGCTTAGATATGTGACATGAAGAACAAGTCTAAAACAACAGACAAAGGTTCTTCACCAATTGCATATAAGCCTCTCCTATGTACACTGTGAAGGGAAGAGAGCATAACAATAGGGTTCTGCCCTAAGAAAAGCAGCTTGTATACAGTAAGTTCTAAAATAAATTAACTGTATGCAGTTGCAAAAAAAAAACAAAAAAAAGCCCAAACAAAACCCCACATTAAACTATTACCTGCTAGGACATCACTTCATTATACAAAATCATAGAATCCTAGAACAGTTTGGGTTGGAAAGGACCTTAAAGCTCATCCAGTTCCAACCCCTGCCACTGGCAGCGACACCTTCCACTAAAGCAGCTTGCTCCAAGCCCCTCTGTCCAACCTGGCCTTGAACACTGCCAGGGATGGGGCAGCCACAGCTTCCCTGGGCACCCTGTGCCAGCACCTCAGTACCATCACAGGGAAGAATTTCTTCCTAGTATCCAATCTAAGTCTTCTCTCTGACAGTTTAAAGCTATTCCCCCTTGTCCTGTCACTATGTGCCCTTGTAAAAAATCCCTCTTCAGATTTCTTACAGACTCCTTTTAGGTATTAGAATAAATCGTGAAAATAAATCATCTCTAAGTAAAAGCATACATTTTATTTTTCAGTGCTGCTAGTAAAAGCCAGCAAGGGAGCCATGGGGAAACGATGCAATTCACATGACAGGTCTGGAGATACACGGGACACCCACAGTCGTTCAGTCAATACACGCAGTTGATAGAGCTTAACATGGCAAATTTCAGACAGAATTTTGTGACACCAGCCGGATCAACACAGAGATGCGTTGGGCGCTCGGGGAAAGAACATACAGCCATGCCACAACCGCGCTCAGAAGGCTCATGGGGAAAAGCTCAAGCTCCGAGTATCTCAGAGGAAGCACAAGGCAGATTTCACATAGCTTATGCTCCTTGAAAGAGGCACGAAAAGCCCCCTCCTTCGCACCCTACAAAGGAAGCAGAGCTGAGCCGCCCGCGGTCCCCTCACCCTCAGCAAGAGGACGCTGACATCTGACCGGTCCCACCTGCAGCCCCGTTTTCCCCATCCTCGCCCGCACCTTCCCCCCTTCCCCACGCTCCTGTCTGCAGCCGCGGCCTCGCCTGGTGGCTGCCCCCGGCAGCCCGGCGCGGCACAGGGGTGCAAGCGCCGCGCTCCCCAGGGCAGGGGCCGTGCGCGGGTGTGGCGGGGCCGAAGCTGCACACACACACGCGCACACACACACACACACACACGCACCCCCCCACACACACACCCCCTGCGAGGCGGCGGTTTGCCGAGGTGGGGAGGGGCGCTGAGGGACCCCCTCCCCCGCCGGGCTCGCACAGGCCTCCCGCCCCTGTCCCCACCGGGGGCGCGCCGCCTCAGCGCCCCCCGCAGCCGAGCGCTCACCGGGCAGCGGCGGGGGGCGGCGGAGCTCGGTGCGGGTGTTCCGCGAGGCCGGGGGGGGCAGGCGCAGGTCCCCGCCGGAGCCGCGTCCTCTCCTGCGGCAGCAGCAGCGGCTTGTCAAAGAGAAAACATGACGCGGGCGGGGAGCGGTGGAGGCGGGTGGCGAGATCTCGCGGGGCTACCGCGAGGCTCTCGCGAGGCACCGGCCACGCCCCGCCTCCGCGCGCTGCGCCGCCAGCGAGTGCCTGCCGCGGGAAACCCGGGCGCGTGGCCGGCGGCTCCGCACTCCTCTGCTCGCGGGAGCCCGGCGGAGCGGGGCGAGGCCATGGGGGATGCGGTGGCATGATCCAGGGAGAACCACCGCACGCGGCAGGCGGGGCAGCGGGACCGGGCGGGTTTTCCTCGCCTGGCTGCAGGGTACATACAGCGCAGTGAAAGTTCACCTGAATTCAAAGAGGGACTACAGGAACACGAGGAAAAGACTTCATCACCAGTTACTGAAGACAACTCATCTGGTTGAAAACTGCCCGCAGGCCACCGAGGGTCATACAGTATGTGGGGACACTTCACTTGCTCCTGCCTTTTCTTTCCCTTGGCAGCTGCTGCGGGCTTTCCTCAGACACATGGTACCTATGTTCCCATCCTTATGTACTTTGTTGTCCTAAAGCGCATCTGTGCCGTGTCTTTCCTCAGTATAAGCCCCCCTCTCAACCCAAAGCACATCACCTTTCTTAGCAGTTTGTTCTGAGTTACAAAGTGGTTTGGGGATTTACCAAGAGTAGAGCTTTGCTCCCTGGAGGGGCTGTTGCACTGCGTGTCACAAATTCCAACCAAAATTAGATCAAATGACACAGGCAGCTTTGGAGGCAGATCCCAGGTATTCACAGCTCTTTATTCTACACCTCCCCACCCCACCCCCCCCCAAAAGGCTACTCATGGATTCATGATGCTTTGCAGCAAAAAGAACAAAACAAACACTTAGCTTTGGAAATAGACTCAACCAAGCTTAAAACCAGAGCAAAAGCTCTGTTAGCAACTTGCCCATAGGATTACAGAATCACTAACTGGTTTGGGTTGGAAGGGACCTTAAACATCATCTAGTTTCAACCCCCTACCACGGGCAAGGACATGAAATGTCAACGACAGAACAATGCTCAAGACAACCCATTTTTCTTCAAGAAGTCTGAAGTTTAGCTTTGTACTCCTAACTGCATGGTCTACTCTTTTGTCTAAAGCCATAGTCAAACTCTGCTGTTAATCTGCAGCTTCTCTGCAACCTGTGCAAAACACCAAATAACCAAAAATGGAATATAATATAAAAACATTTTAAAGCATTCTGTTAAGTCTGTAAAATATTGCAGCTAAAAGATGCTGTGTAAAAAATATACTTAAAAAAATTCAACAGATGCATCAAGATACCTTCAATTCAGCAATGTCCAGCAAATGTGCTATTCTGTAGAACAGAAAGCAGGCTGAAGAGACACACTAAGCAGTGCCCCACACCCACATTCTTATGTTAACCGTAGCATGGAGACAAACCTTATCATTGACTGCAGGTTTTTATGGCTTGCAGACTCCAACAGCAACCCAGTGTCATAGACTTCTCAAAGAATTTCTTAGCTTTGCAAATGGATACTAAGTTCAGGAAGCTGCAAAGTTTTCTTGTTTTGTTTGTCAAGCCTTGACGTGGCCCATCAATCACCTAGCAATGCTGAGCGTCTAGAACACCTATATGCGGATGTATCTGTCCCCACAGAGACCCAGAATTTAAGGTACACTGGAGCCATTATGCAGCCACTCTCCAGAATGGCACCCGAGGAGCCAAGAACAGAAGAATCAAGGAAGCAAATTAATAGTAGTCTTCCAAATTAAACATCTTTCTCTCATTTTACAATACATACCCTTTTAAACATACATGAGGACTATAATACAGATTGTTGCCTTGAAAATCTTTGTCACGGAATTTCCCATCATTCCTGTTGCAAAATAGCACACTGGCAACTAAAGGTAGGGGCAACAAAAATCCAGTTTGACGTACCCAACCGTCTATGTTTTCAGCCCATAGAATGCTACCAAAGGACCATTGCAATTTATCTTTCTGAATTTTCACATGAAGCTTATTTATTAGATAGCAACTGTTAACATGCGATATTAATCACAAGCTTTTCTAAGTCTCAAGCAGCACCTAAAAGTCAAGTGGGGAAGCCCCAGTTGCTCTGGGAGTCTAGGCAGGCTCTTTTAGAGTCTGCCCATTGGGGGCTTAACTGCCTGAGCTACTGCCTGCTAGCACTCAGGGCCTTCCTGACTCAAAGAAAGCCCAGGATGCAAGGGATGCGGGATGAGGAGGTCTATCCCATCTCCTACTAAGCAGGCAAGTATTGTCAAAATTCCTGAGAAGACAAATGAAGCCAACAGCATTCTAGTTTACAGCAGTACCAGCAGGTCTAAAAATAAGCATATAAATAAAGGAAATAAGATCTAAATTTGCTCTAACATCGCCTATGGCTGTCAGTAGAAATCAGCCATGGCATTTGAGAGTCAAACTATCATTAAATGAAAACATAGCACTTCTATCCTCTGGAAATTGCAGAGGCCCCTGAAAGTCTTTTGGGGACCCTGAGGACACATTTGAGGAAAGATTAGCCCTCCAGTCATCTACAGCTACATATTAACAGGGGGAAAATAACAAAACATTTGAGAAGAGTTTTATGGGAGAACCCCAGGCACAGGCTAGGAAACCCAGAGTTACAGCTTCTCAGTGAGCAACAGCACTCATCCTCTCTGTCTCCCTCACAGCAAATGTAAGCGAAGTCTTCAAAGTCAACAAATTCCTACAGGTAATGCTCCTTGACTGCAGTATATTCATGTTCAACTTCTATTTCCAAGACAGTCTCCATCTTAGCTTCAAAGCACAGTGGGAGGCTGGGAGAAAGCCCATATGACAGTGCAGGTTTCAAGGGAATGGAAGCTGTAGATACCACCTCCCTCAGCTCTGTGCTCCCACCTCTCTTAAAACAGAAATAATCCATCCTGATGGCTGCAGATGTCTCAAGCCCCACCCCCTGGGTTCCCTCCTTCCCAGCCTCCCTTGGACTACGGCAGATTTCTTCCAGCATTCAGCTCTACAAGACCTGTTTTACGACAATGATTTCCTATTATTTTATGAGTTGTTGCATTATTTAAATGTATTGTTATGCAATCCCATCAAATGTATGTTTAATTTTAGGCAATGAGGAGAAAGGTATATAATGAAAGAACAATGTGCACTTTAACATCAAGTCTTCCTTTTTCTAAAACTGTAATTATACTTTATTTTTAGTAACCACATGTAACTCTTTACCCTCTTCTGATCCTGATATGACACCAGGATATTGTATCAGGTGTCTATGACCAATTCCACTCATTATTTGGTGGGTTTTTTGGTAATGCAGTGCCTAGGACAGGACCCACCATTCAGCATTAAATGATGCTATTTTTCTAGGACTACTTCTGCACAGTACAGGATAATTTTGGATCCTTACAGAAAAATAGGATTCCTATATGAAATATCTCAATTAACAGTTTTCCATTTACTGGCATTTCTTCCTGCAGATTCTGCGAACATTGGCATGCCTTGCTGTTGTCATGGCAATGAAAGGACTCTATATGTTTTTGGATGCGACTCAAAACATCTTATATAGAAATGGGACAACAATTAGAATAATGGACATTGGATGGTCTTGTGACACCAATTAATGAATGCTCAACAGGAAATAAAGAGCCCAAAAGATACTGAACATAAGCTCCTTGATTGGATACAAGACACAAAATTGCTACTTGAGACCCCATCTTGCAATTAGGGTAAAGCTTTGTCACTCTTGAGCAGTATTAAAATCACAGTGATCTGCCTGTGCTCTTGCTTAGCTAGACCAGGATCCAGATTTGCCCAAATAAAGACTGCTCTTAAAGTTCACAAATACAGAAGTCTTGTACTGTATACCCATCCCAGTAAAGGTCTTGAAACAATCGTTTCTCTGTGAGGGCTCATTCAAAGGCAAGATTTCTCTTGGCCAGTGAGCTCACAATTTATATCAGGCAACAGAAAAAGAAAAACATTTTAGAGGAGCAAGTTTACAATTTAAAAGACAAGGAGAGGAGCTTCTGTCAGGCACTGGTCAAGTATGGAAGATGCAGTTGCAAAGAAACATAACTAAAGCCAGCCTACCCCAATCTATAAAGCATTTGGAAAACTTGATTGCTAGGCTAGAAATACCATTCACCTATGCCTTCTATATGTTACTCATCACAACACCAGCTCTTTTCCTGTAGATCCAAGGTATATGAGGGAAACTGTTATTAGAACATTTTGCCTGTGCAGGGATGCCAAATATGGAGACACTGAAATATATGCATCTGTGTCAGTCACTAATTTCATCTTCTGACTCATGTTCTGGAGTGACAGTTATTCTGCATGGCACTTCCTGTTCATACCAAGCTGAGCTACACTAGCTGTTATTTATTAGAAAGCAACCTAAAGCCACATCCAAACAGCCAGCTGGCTCCTACCCCAGTACAAATCATCACTTGCCGCATGATCAGCACTTTCAGAGCTCAGGACTGCAGGTGGCTGTGTCACTTCCCTCCTTCTGCTGGATCCCAGCACACCACACACTTCCTTCCAGAGTAGGGACCTGTCTGAAGTAACCTCACATTTAAGATCCAATTCAAACCACCACCATCTCTCGCTTTCTTTAGCTAGCTGATAACTTCCAAAAACTGATACTGGTCAGTCTGGGTGAAAGCTTCCTCCAGCTCAGAAATGGCCAGGCCAAAACAGCAAACATGCCAGAGACAAATAAGAAAAAAACACCCCATGGGAAACAGGAAGAGTTTGTACTGGAAGACAATGAATGAGAATATAAAGGGGAAAATAAAAGAATTTTACATGAACAGCTAACAACTAAACTCATACACAAGACTAATTCCAAACTAATACACGAATGGGCACAGGACTTTTTTAGCATATGTATCAAGAATGTTATTAGCACTTCAGAAGGATTAGCAATTCACCTTAGCTCAATATGATAGCATCCACTGCACAGCCAATATGCAGCTTAAATGTTGTGTCATCACTACACGCATCAAGATACTAGAAGAGTTAAACAATAAATGACCAACAGGCAAAGTACCATTAGAATTGCCACTGCCCAGCTTCACAATACCTTTCAAGCCATACTTGTAAATTTAGGTCCCCTGTTTTAAGAACCACTGTTGTGCAATTCTGCAGTTGCATCCCCACTTCATACCCCTTTAGCAATACAGTTAGGAAAGTACTTGTCACAGTTGCTTCCCCCTGTCCCCTGTCACCTTTCCTATGCAGTGAGCAAGGCAAACCAAGACCTCTGGATAAAAACACAGACAAGAGATAACACAGAGATCCAACATCACCTTTGTGCTTACTACTGGAACGCGCAGATGAAAACAGACTGAGACTAGTTGTCCCTTTGCATTCAAAGTGGAGAGGTTATCCACTATTGTGGCCCTGAAGCAACAGAAGCAAACAGACTAGTTAGTCTTGGCAGGACATGGGGGGTGTACTGGAGGGCTGCCCAATATAGTACGCAAGAGATGGGTGCCTGTACACATTAACTTAATGCACAATAAACTCACTGCTGTTCCAAAAAAGGAGTAGCCACAGTATTTCATGAGTTAATATTTACAAAGGGTTGCATCATATGAAACTGGACTCAGCAGCAAAATAACACTTGAGCTGTTTTTAGCAAGCACTAGTATTCTGTCTTGCTTCAAGGAAAGTCTAGAGGTGAAAAATTTAAGGAGTAAAGATTAAAATTAACGTTTATGTAGTCATAAGCACAGCACTGATCCAGTCTCCATTTTCATGAGGAAAAAAGAAAAAGTAATATTTCAGTTACTTATCCAGAGGGCTTTGGTTAAGCAGAAAGGTTCATTTTTTTTTCTTTTATTGAGGCCATCTGACCTTGAGTAAGTCTCCTTCCAATGTACTGCTCTCTGAAACAGGCATAATGCCAGTAGTTATATGTATAGTTTGCTTTCAAGTTACTGTAATCTTTCCGCACAAATGCAGATACCGTAACTGTTCCACACAAGATCCTATGCATGATTTCTTTCAACAAGAGGCATTTGGTTTTGTAAGTCAGAATATATCATTAATTTTATTAAAGCTATTAATAACCATTAAGCCTAAGAAAAGCAGCACTTTACAGTTGCGATTGCTTTTTCTTCGCAGAATACAGATGCATAGAGCCAGTACTGCTATCCTCAACACTAACAGCATTCAAAGGCCACAGGTACAATACCTAGGTCATCATGCCACATTAGACCTGAAGGCCTGAAAGATACTGTAAAACATCTTACATCTTGCCCGTACAGCATATTCCAATGCATTGTTCAACAATCTTAACAACTTCTTCCATTTTCTGCAGATCATTCCTCAGATAAAAAAAAAAAAAGAAAAAAAATCCCCCAATTTTTTTTCCTCAGGGGGAAAAAAAACCCAAACATACAACTCTATTGTCATCCCAGAATTTCTCTTTCTGAACTTCAGCTACAAGATGTGAGTTGATAAATCTTTTCCAACCGACAGCTATGTCACTTCCTTGCTCATGCTCCATTCACTAGTATTTTCCCCTTTTTCCTGTTAGTTATTCACCCAGTCCCCTAATTTCATTTTTTTAAAGTGATTGTTCTTTGGCTTCTGTCAATTCATTGATATTTTTCTAGTCTTTAACTGGAAGTAAATATTCTAACTGTTGTCTGAAAGCTGTACAATGAGGAATTATCCTTCTGCTTTCATGAATCAATGAGTACTCTGTAAGGCTAAAAGCATTTTTTTCCCCCCATTGTTGTCACATTTCCTCTCATTCCATTTGTTCTCGGGTTCCACTTTTCCCAAAAAGCACCACAACAGAAATAATATCCTCCTGGACCTTTCACTGGGAGATCTTAAAGTGTTTCTCAAAAGGAATCATCTTTCACTTGGATGAGTAAAACACAAGTTATAAATAGGATAATTCTCGCACCCCAGTATACGTAGCACAGATTGTGTTCCAGCTCAGCATGTTACCCAATATTCTGCTTTTTAAAGAAAGCCTCCACTCATATTGATCTTTTTAGAAAGAGACTGGTAAAGTTCAAACATTGCTTTTTTGTGTCCCACACAGCTTCTTGGGCTGCTATCACTACAATATGGGGTGTTTACAAATTCTAAAAACTCAGCAAAAAACGCCCAAAACTCTCCTTTCAACTGCTTTCTTAGAATATTCATTATAACTTCTCACATTTCCCTAGAAAATGTGGTTCCTCTAGTGTTCCAACAGCTCAACACACTGCTTTGATGTTTTCCCTAAGAAATGTTCAACTGGTTCGACATCAGTTTTCATTTAAGTCACCAGATGTACTCCCATTCACATTCAGCCTAGAAGAACCTACTTGTGCCTCACTAAACCTGCAGGTTTCATCAGTAACATAAATATTCACAAAATCCCAAGTGTGAAATTCTACCAGAGGAAGACAGTTTGCAGTAAACACAACAGAACCTCAGATCTATGCTACCTACTTCTGACCCGAGTACCATTATCTTGAGACACACACACAGAGCACAAGAGACTCCCTAATACACCATGACATCCTTCAGTACAGTCTCCTCTTAAATTCTCAGTACTCTTTCTGGATCTCTCCCTCATATTCTATTTCTTTTAAACCATCATTAAAGAAACCTTACCAGCTCTTAATGTCTGTGTGCTAAGCAAAAAGCAGTCTCCAATTCCTGTGAACAGTTCAGTGTGTTATGAACTAAGTACAGCACCCTCCAAACTTCAATAAGGAAGTTTTAATAAACACGTAAATTAACTCCTGGTGTTAGCAAGAAGGTCCAGCATTGCCCAACTGCCCATGATCTAATTAAATAAGGTCTTAGAGAAGTTACAGAATCCTGGGTCTCAATCCAAGTTTTTCAGTCCTTTAAAAACAGAAGGCATACAATTAGTTGCAATAGTTGGATACAGCCTTTAAATATCCTTTAATGCTAATTGATAAATAACCATAACATCCTGTCATTTGTCCAGAGGAAATGCAAGTGAGGTAGTGCAAGCACAGAACAGCTATATTCAGTACTGTATTGATGTGATTTTTTGTTTTTCTTCAACTAATTAACACTGTATTCATTAAATATGTCACTGAACTCTTTCCCAGTTTAGCAGCATGAGAGTCTGGGTTTGCCCCCAGCAGAGATGTGTCTACCCCTCATGCAGTGTTTTCAACTCTAAACAATGGAAATGACAAAGAACAATGATCCATTCAGGTGCTGAAGTGCATGGGAGAATCCATAATGTTCATCTTAAATAAACTGGTTCAATAATGTAATATTCAAAATAAACATTTTCCTTTTTCCTTCTAAATGAATTGGCTAACAGGTATATTTAAATTGTTCACAATATCTTGTGATACAGCAGTTTTGAATGTTGTTTTTACAAAAGCTTTCTGTGTTAGATCGCTTCATTTTATTACTCTGAAGACTTACCTTAATTTCTAAGATACAGCCCTATTTATGCTTCACATAACCAAGCACAAACTGTTACTGAGTAGTTTCTAGCATGGCAAAGGTGAATCAAATACAACACCTTAATATAGCACTGATTGAAGATTCCCTTCCCATTTAAATAACTGGAGTGACAGAAAAAGAAACATTAAAAAGGTGAAAGTAATACCAAAAGGGGCAGAAAAAATCTGAAAGGAGCCTTTCCTGAGTGAGCTTAGAAATTCAATACCTCAGTTATCTGGTTGCAGCTGAAGCACTCAGTAAGTCCATATTCTCTGCTCTCACATGTAGAGTTTATCATATTTATGTACAGATACCTGGTGTGCCAGCCTTTGAAGAGCGGCTGAGGCTTTAAAGTCCTTTTTGATCATGCTCTCACACACATATTTCAGCGTGAGGTTATACAGTGTTGGATACTGGTGCCAGGATCAAAGTCCAAGCTACGGAAT